GTACATTTTACAAGAAAACACTATTTCTACTTAAAATTGTAACATTCAGTTCAACTTGTAACTTTTTTTGTGATTATTTGTGAAATTTAGCAAACTCTAAAAATTGTTTGAAAGTAAACACTGTAACACTCACAAATTATTGAAACACACAACAAATAAAATCTGGAAAAATGGCATCACTCTTCTTCTTAAACCTGTACACAGCCATGTGACCAGCTTCTATAAACCTGCCAGAGTTTTATGTCTTTGATATACATTGACAGGAGTGAACTGGGTGTAGCAGCTCCTCATGCATTGACTCAGTCGCAGTCATGCATAAAGACTAAACGGTCAAAATACTTTCAAGCCGAGTTCCCACCTTTCCACAGAACGCAGCTGTTCATGACTAACCCGTCTTATCATTATCATGCAATCTGCCTGTTGTCGTCTCATCCACCCTGCTGGATTCCCTGCACTAAAACCTCTTGATTCATGAATCCCAGGATTTATGATCTCTATGAAGAACTTCAGTCAGGTTTCAGGACCCACCATAGCACAGAAACTGCACTTGTTAAAATTACAAATGACTTGCTTCTTGCGTCAGACCAAGGCTGTATCTCATTGCTAGTTTTACTTGATCTTAGTGCTGCGTTCGACACTATAGATCATGACATACTCATAGATCGATTACAAAACTATACAGGTATTCAAGGGCAGGCTTTAAGATGGTTTAGATCCTACCTGTCCGATCGCTACCATTTTGTTCATTTAAATGGGGAGTCATCTCAATTATCACCAGTAAAATATGGCGTGCCACAAGGATCTGTCCTAGGTACTCTTCTATTTTCAATATACATGTTGCCCCTTGGTAATATTATTAGAAAATACGGGATTAGTTTCCACTGTTATGCTGATGATACTCAACTATATATCTCAACAAGACCAGATGAAACTTCTAAATTATCTAAGCTAACAGAGTGTGTTAAAAATGTCAAAGATTGGATGACCAATAGTTTCCTCCAATTAAATTCGGATAAGACAGAGATCTTACTTATTGGACCAAAAAACAGTACACAGAATCTCTTGTATTACAATTTGCAACTAGACGGGTGTACTGTTACTTCCTCTACAGTCAAAAATCTGGGTGTTATATTAGATAGCAACTTGTCTTTTGAAAATCATATTTCCCATGCTACAAAAACAGCATTCTTCCATCTTAGAAACATTGCCAAGCTACGAAACATGTTAGCTGTTTCTGATGCAGAAAAGGGCTCTGTCCAGTTCTCAGCCCCCATTTCACACTAATGCCTAAAGTTAGTCATTGGTTTGTCTAAAGTCAGTGATTTGGTTACCAAGGGCATAACAATGTCAACAAAGAGCAATGAATAACTACAACGACGAACTGTAAAAATTAAAAGATCTGTCCATTTTGCAAAGTCTTATAAATTATTTAAAATCAATGCTGCATGCCCAGCAAACAAAAATGTGTTCTGTGAATGTTTAAGTTCTGTGAACATTCCATTTGAAATATTATGGGAATGCTACTTTTGAATATTCTCCGAGGATTCTAAATAATAGCAAACATTAGCAAAGCCAGATAACTGAATGAACGTTCTATTTAAAAAAAACAAACAAAAAAACGTTTTTAGTTTTTTTTGCCAGAACGTTAGTACTGAGAACGTTCATTGTTAGCTGGGTAAAGCAATTAAATCTAATTTATTACAAGACAATGCATTTTATTTTTCAAATACTAATAAAATATTTCATATTTCTAGCATGCTATTCTTTAGAATCATTATGAGGACGCACTATGGTTTGTGGTGTTATCAGTGTTGACAGGGTGTGTCTGAGGACGCTCTCCCTCCCGCATTCTCCGGCGCTGTGCTGAAGCTCCGCCCGCCGCTGACCGCACTTCAGTCCGCGTCTAAGTTCCGCGAGTAACGGCAGCAGCGGCGGCGCTTATGGCGAACATCTGCGGCATTTCACTCTTCGTAGCGCTGATTCTTGCGGTGAGCAAAAAGACTGAAGAGTTTCCAGTGTTCATGTTGACTCGAATATAATCTTAACTCTTCTGTCTGCATCCTCAAAGTTTCGTTTCTTTCATTTGATATTTTTTCCTAAACACTCTCTAAACACTTCTTCATGAACACTAAAAATGCTGGGTTGTTTCAACCCAACTTTGGGTCAAATATGGACGAATCCAACTTTTGGGCTAAATTTTTTTATTTAAAAATGTAACCCAACAGCTGGGTTAGCCTAGTCCATATTTGAAACAACCCAGTATTTATTTATTTTTTTGAATGTGTACATGTGTTCAATACAGTGAATGTGTATGAATAATGTAATTATTTAATATGATTTACGTGTGTAAACTGCTGTTTTCCTTTAATCTTCTCAGCCAGGATTGTGTGTGTGTGTGTGTGTGTGTGTGTGTGTGTCTTTGCACTGCTGCTCATTCTTTATTAATGAACTATGGGAAGATATTAATTAAAGAACTGTATATACAGGCTAGATGTCACCTAATACTGACTTTTTTCATAGAGATAGATGTTATTAGTTAAATTATTGCATTACCAGATTGCCAGAGGAAGAGAGCATGTGGGTGGGAATTAAGAGGAAGTCAAAACAAAAGGTTGACTGTATGTCGGTGATTCTTCAACTTAAGGCATTTATCAGAGAATTATTTTTATTAAAACTAACACAAGCTTTATTAACACTATTATTCTTGGTTTGCTTTTTTTTAAAACCTGGTTCTTTCAAATGTCAGCAGCCCCATGGGTGGCTTTATTTTCACCTTCCCAAACAATGTGTAGCCTCTAAAAAAAAGATTTTTCAAAAATAAGCATACTTGTTTACAAGAAGACAATAGAAACTTTCGAGAGCATGCTTGAGATGAAATGTGAAACGGGATTTATGGTAAATATCATCTTGTGCGCAGAATATTTTTTATTTTGCATGATGCAATCGAGTTGTAAATTCATCAGAATCAAAATACAAGGAATTTGTTTTGGTGATAGAAACTTCCAGTAAACAGAGAAAACAACAACAACACACAGATAATAAAAAATAAAGATATGTGAGTAAAATACACATAATGTGTAAAATAGACACAATTTGTATGTACAGGTGTACAGATGTATTATGACATTTTTTTTAAAAGTATTATTTAATTGTGTGTATTTTGGATCGATTCTTACACCTGTTTTACTGCTCTCCAGTTTAGTTTCTCACATTATTAGGTGAAACAGACACTTGTGTTTGTGTGTTTGTGTAGATCCTGAACACTTCAGCATCTGAAGGACAACAGAAGAAAATCAGACAGAAGAGAGAATGGATAATCCCACCACACAAACTAAAGGAAAATGTCAATTATATAAATCGGGATTACATAGCCAAAGTAAGATCTTCATTATTTGTATTTTTATTAGTGCTGTCAAACGATTAATCGCGATTAATTGCATCCAAAATAAAAGTTTTTGTTTACATAATATATGTGTGTGTATTTATGTACATATAAATACACACACATGCATGTATATATTTCAGAAAAATATTTTATGTATATATATTAAATATATTTATTTATAATATAAATTATATAAATATATACATGTAAATATTTTCAAAATATATGCATGCATGTATATATACATAATAAATATACACAGTACACACATATATTATGCAAACAAAAACTTGTATTTTGTATGCGATTAATCGCGATTAATTACTCACTAATTTTTATTTTTTTAGTTCTCTGCAGTGTTTCTTGGGGAAAAATACTTTGTTTTCATTTTTTTTAATACAGAACAGTAGCTTTCCAAACATTAGTGATGTTTTGATGAACAGTTGCATTGTAAATTAAATAGAGCAACGGGAAATAAGTAGGTAATTTGTAAGATCTCTCCAGAATAAAAAAAAATGATTAGCACTTTTCCCACTGTTCTGCCATGAATGATCAATTACAAGGATTAGGATGAATAAACTCTAGTTATGTATCACTGCATGGTAAAAAAAAAAAAAAAAAGTGCCATTTTCATTTAACAGATGCTTCTTTTTAAACCCCATTAAAGTGTGAAATGGATTTGTTTTCAGATCCGTTCAGATGAGGAGACCAGGACGAGTATACAGTATTCACTGACTGGATCAGGTGCTGATCAGCCGCCTGTCAACTTGTTCACTGTTGATAGTGAGACCGGCTTGGTCAAGATCCACGGAGTGTTAGACAGAGAGAAAACTCCCGTTTATTATGTGAGCAGCCCTTTCATCTTTTACACACGATTATTAACATTTATTGCATGGGTGTCTGTCCTTCCCTGCCTGAATGACTAGATCACTAAATGCAGTGCAGCTCATACTAAAATCCCATAATTTGTATTTTATTAGCCATAGCATATGCATAAAGAGAGGCAATGTCATTGAGAGGGTGTGTATGCATTTGTTTTGATTGAGAAATCATGATTTGTTAATAAGTTTGAACTTAAATTTTTTTCACATTTAGAATCAACTCAACCCACATGGCATGTGTTAAAGGAATAGTTCACCCAAAAATGAAAATGTAGGCCATCCTAGATGTAGATGAGTTTGTTTCTTCATCAGGTTTGGAGAAATGTAGCACTGCATCAGTGTCTCAGCGATGGATGCTCTGCAGTGAATGGGTGCCGTCAGAATGAGAGTCCAAACATCTGATAAAAACATCACAATAATCCACAAGTAATCCACAGCACTCCAGTCCATCAGTTAACATCTGGAGAAGACAAAAGCTGTGTGTTTCAGCCACACAAATCCAGCATTAAGGCGTTTTAACGGCAAACCGCTGCTTCCGGCTAAAATACAAATCCATAATAACACCTTCTCCGGTGAAAAAGTCCATCTACTGTCGTCTCTCACATCAAAATCCAGCCACATATTTGTTTAGAGCTGTTTTGGCTTGTGAACAGTGCTTGATCTGTGCAGATTTCTCTCCTGATTCAGACCAGATGATTTTTCACTTGAGGGAGTGTTATTATGGACTTGTATTTTAGCCGGAAGCAATGGTTCCAGAATCCAGATGTTAACTGATGGACTGGAGTGGTGTGGATTACTTGTGGATTATTGTGATGTTTTTATCAGCTGTTTGGACTCTCGTTCTGACGGCACCCATTCACTGCAGAGCATCCATTGCTGAGACACTGATGCAATGATAAATTGTGGTTTTAGCCAGAATGTTTCGTAAGCTGTGAGGAAAATGACGGTTGATTTGCTTATCATCTGCACAGATCAGGCTTGCATGAACATGACCATCACTAGACATCAAATAACGTATTCTTTAAAAAGAGTGTAGCAAGCTAACATGAATGGATAGAGAGAGTTTGTGCTTGTTGATCAGAGTTCACATGCTTAGACCGAGCCGAAAACCAGCATCTCCTGAGTCGTACAGAGGATTTCTCACATGGTTATATGAAAAGGCAGGGTTTCATGATATTTGCTTATTCTCTCTTATCAGGAATACTTATCATATCTCATTTGTGTTTAGCTGAACGTGTGTTTCATGAACTTTTTTAGAAAACAGGACAAGGAGAAAATGAAGGGTTATGAGAGAAGAATGAAAGGGTAAGGGAGGGCAAATATGAATGTCATAAAATACAGATTAAATAGCCTAATACATATTTAAATCTATGCTGTGACTGAGAATTTCTACTGAAATGACTGGTGACATAAAAAAGTTAATGGTGTGAATATATCCAATTTGCCAACTTAAATAAACATTATTATGTATTTAACAGTAGGGGTGTGACGAGAGCTCATGCCACGAGATCTTGCGATATTACAATGTGACGATTTTCTCGTCGAGTTGTCTCGCGATATCACCATTACGAGTGTGACGGTGAAATTAGCATGAGAAGATGCCACCGCTGTGTTTACATTACCGCCTCCACTGTCGTTATGCTTTTTAATAGAAATAAAAATTTTTTAAAAATTAAGTTGGACAACGGTCGCTTCAATTCTAAACTGAAAGCGTCTGCTCTGCTCGTTGCGCAACAGAGCTAAGCATCTGACAAACATAGATATGTATAGACATATCTATGCTGACAAATGTCTTTTCTTGTAGAATGCACGCTGAGCACCACATTTTGAGAGCGGCTTCCTGATCTCCCAATATCAAACCTATCTTTGGCTGGGCTGTGTGTAGTTGTTACCGTCTATTAGCTCTGTATCATGCTTTAAGAAATACCTGGTCTGTTGAATATTGAGAGAGTACTTTGATTATGGTTGCACGTATTGCTTGCACTTAACAAGTCTAAGAAAAAAAACATGTGCTATATATTTTTGTTATTTATATGGTTTTTATGTTCAACTTGTGGGAAGGAGTTCAGTTAGGAGGTCAGAAGTTCTAGAAGCTCATAATTCATGTAGAGTTCTAAGGTCTGAAGAGACTCGTGTGAAATCATACAGGAGAGAAGCAGTCTGTGGCAAAACCTTTTACAGTGCTTGTATATTGTTGTCTTTTACTGCATATGATAATTCATACTCAGAACTGGAATGACATGCATTACAAGATGATTAGTTAAAGCATTTCAAAATGCACCTGCAGACTATTTTTCCAGTTATGTACTGTATTTTGTCATTGAGGATTTCTTAAAAAAATCAAAGAAGTTCCCATTGAATTAAACTTCTATGTAATTTGTGAAATGTTTGGTGATTTTCCTGCATTCCAGCTTCGAGGGGTGGCCAGGTTTCTGAATGGCAGTCATGCTGAGAAAGATATTGATTTGAGAATCGTGGTGGAGGATGAGAACGATAATGCTCCTGTGTTTAACCTGACAACCGGAGCTGTTTACGAGCGGAGCGCAAGAGGTACTGCAGTCATACATGATGCTTGAGACAATCAGGAAATCGGCTCAGTCATTTTCATTGTTCAAAGTGTTTGTAGTGTTAGCTGAATTAACTTACTAAATTAACAATTGCATTTTATTAGTAGTGGCTAAGCTACCCAGGCTCATTGGAAATACGTGCCTCTACCTACATTTCTGCAAAACTCAAAAAACAGATCTATATGTATGAATCGCTGCAGTTTCCAGTTGAAATGAACACTAGAGGCAGTAAAACTCTGACAACTTTTATTCCTTTTCACACAAAGTGTGATTTACAGGGCCAGAGTTTCGATTAAGAAAGCCTTATTTTCATATAATATTATGTTTTGACTTCTGAACAATTTTAACATGCTGCCAGATTTGAAAACTGATACTTTTGAATGTTAGCGTCACATATACAGCTTCATATGGATGGGCTTTCAAACGCAGTAAGTTTGCTCAGTAGCTGACGTGATACAGTGTTGCGCTTGAGAGATGAAGCACTGAAACTATGCAAAACACAGTAGGTTTACATTTGGGTTTGGTGTTGGAGGTTTGTTATTTTCCAACATGATAGAGCATTAACTTTTTAGCGACACTCAAGAACAAGAACACAAGTATACAGAAGATGCATGAAAGTCCCGGATGTGTTCTTGATATCTTGATATCAAGGATGCATCAGATGCAGACTTGAGAGAATCGAACCATTAGAAATCCTGGAAGACGTTGCGGGCGCTCGACGTACGGAAGCCTGTAACTATGTCTGCAAGCTCACAAATACGTGAAGGCTCGTGAAAGTAAACATTTGTTTTGCATAATTTTAATAAACTGATAAAGACCTGGAGAAAGCCTGCAGTACTTTTATTGACATATAAAAAGTATCTTAACATTGACAAAGCAAAGGTAACAAATATACAAACTCATTTTCACAAACACATACAGTAAACATAAAACTATGATTAACGAATTAGTCAGTATAGGGCCCTATGAATTTTTTCCAAATTCCGTTTTTTTTCTTCTGTTGAAATTTTTCTGGATTCCATTTTTTTTTCTAGACTCTGTTTTAATGGTTAAATAAAAAATATGAATCATAAATCATGTCTAATTAATTAAAATCATGAAACTTACACAATATAACAGCAATTTATTAATAGTTTAACAAAAAAATACTTTTTTAAGGCCTTACAAAATACGTTGAATTTTTTTCTCAAATTCAGTTTTATTTTTTTACCAAATTCTGTGTTTTCCATGAATTTTTTGGATTCCATTTTAATTGTTTCATTCAGTTTTTTTCAAAAGCATCTCTAATTAATTGATTTTATTTTACATTTATTTATTTTATTTTATTTTATAGATTTATTTTATTTTATTATTATTTTCTTTCTTTCTTTTCTATGGAGCCCCGCACATGACATGCAAGAAAAAAAAAATCGTGGGCACGATTTATTAATTCGTTCCCTCATTTTAAGTAAATCATGCGCTCGATATAGTAATTCGTGCCCTCGTTCTAGGTAAATCGTGTGCACGAAATAATTATTAGTTGTACTTCCTGTCCGCGTACGCATTCTCATAAACATGTTGCTGCTATATGTTATGTCATTTTGAGTTGGGAATGAGTTATAGAGACATTCTCAAAAGCCTTGCAGCGTTGCATGGAATCATTTTAAGTGAGAGGCATCTACATCGCATACTAAGAATTGGAGGTCTTACCTAGAACGAGGGCACAAATTATTATATCGAGCGCACGATTTATTTAAAACGAGGGAAAGAATTAGCCTATTAAATCGTGTGCACGATCTAGTAAATCAAGGGAATTAATTAATAAATCGTGCGCACGATTTACTTAAAACGAGGGAACGAATTATTAAATCCTGCGCACAATCTAGTAAATCGAGGGAACGAATTAATAAATCGTGCACCGCGGCTGAGGGTGAGCTGAGTATTGCGCGGCGTGTGTGTCAAAACAAAGAGGAGAGGGCTCCAGCCCCCGAATCCAGTTCAGAGCACCTCCGGTGCCCGCTCCTAGAAAGCGCCCTCAAGTGTCCGCTCCTCCAGAGCGCAATCCTGTTCCCGGGTTCAGCCTAGAGGGGGCTCCTGATCCAGAGTTTAGCCCCGAATGCCTGGAGGCTCATGAATGGAGGCCCCTCTGCTTGCCCTCAGCCCACCATCTATGCGGTGCGAGCTCCGCAGGACTGCCATCCTCCAGCGTCGCCGTAGCTGGAGTTTCCCTTGACTCCGCCTCCAGCCTCTAAGCCCCAGACTCCGCATTGGCCCGTTGACCCGTCGGCTCCACCATGGCTCCTAGCTCCCTCCTCTCCGCCGTGGCCCGGCAGTCCACTAGCTCCGCCGGGCTCCCTCGTCCCTTCGGCTCCACCTTGGTCTGGCGTCGACCATCCTGTGCCTCGGGACTCCACTCCTGTGGCTTCACATCGTCCCGCCATCCCTCCGGCTCCATCAGGCTGCTTCATCCCCTCGGCTCCTCCTCAGTCCTCGGTCGCTCCGGCTCCACCGCGGCGTCCTGGATCCACATCTTTGCCGGCGCCATCTGCTCCGCCTAGGACCTCTGGATCCTCCCCGTCGCCCTGGCTCATCGGCTCTCCGTCCTGTGTTAATTTAATTGATTCCATGCACCTGTGTTCCCCTGACTGCCCTGTGTTTATTAGCCCCAGTCTGTGTAGTCTTCCTTTGTTGGTTCTACTTGTTGGATGTTGTGAAATTCCCCTGTCATTCCCAGAATTAAAGACTGTTTATGTACTCCACGTCTCCTTGTTCCTCGCTCCTCCTAGCACAGATCGTGACAATCATACAAAGTTTAAAACATTTAAATATCAAGCAGTCGTGATTATTAGGCTAGAGCTGGTTTGGTTTCTGAGAGATGCGCAGAGATGGAACGTGACTGTTTGATGTAACTCAAACCCTTTTATCTAAACCTCTCGCACATTTCAGTGTGGTCGCATGTCTGGCAGGTGTTTTATAATGGACACTCGCTGAAGAAGCCTGTTTTTATAGGAGTTTGCGATGGTCAGTGATGTTTATATGGGCATCAACACTCACTCTGACAGAGGAACTGTTCACTGGTGATGATGAGCTGCCAACTTTAGAATGTGTTTATTTGCTTTTTAAATTTGTGTTTTGCTCTGTTTAATAATTCTGAATGGATCCGTTTATATTTATATACAGTCAGGTTAAGGCGGTCTGTTGGCTTGTCCGTGTGGTCCTGTTTGGTATTGCAGCTTGACTTGTAGTTATACAAAATGCTCTAAACAAATGTGACATTTATTTTTTCCTCACAGTTTTTACTGTTGTACTGTATAAATAAATTGTGAATTATGAAAAAAACATTTTTTAATTTATCTTGAAAAAATTGTGCAGAAAATATAGTTATTTTTCTATTCTATCTGTTTTCTTTTTATTATATAATAATAATAAAAAAACATTGCTACATGTACTGCGTTAAGTTAACTGAGACTTGTTATAGCACTTGCATATCATTGCTCTCTTGTTGATTTTGATTGCTTCCATTGTCCTCATTTGTAAATCGCTTTGTATAAAAGCGTCTGCTAAATGACTAAATGTAATGTAAATACAATACTGTAGGTTCATTTGTCTAAACCTACTCGTGTAAATATTTCATCTGAAGAAATCCCCACGGCTACTGCAGCCAAACATGTACACACACTTATACACTTAAAATTCTCCTGTCAACCCTATTGGAAAATGATTAGCCTGTTTATACAAGACATTATAATTATATATAAATATCAATTATAATTATTTTGTTACGTTATAATAGATGTTTTGTCAGTCACAATTTTAGAGGGTTCTTAAAAGTGTGCAGTGGCCTTTTCACCCGTAGAATATGTGGGGCACTTTTAATAAAGTGTAAATTTGTCCACTGCACTTTTTCACTGGACATGGTTTTCATGGGGCAATGTGTATGTATAAATCTAGACTCAAAAATCAAAGAGACAGGATAATCTATAAAGTATGTGACCTGACATGCATGAAAACTAGTCACATTCTACACTGCTGTTCAAAAGTTTGGGATCAGTAAGATTTTTAATGTTTTTAAAAAAGTATCTTCTGTTCATTAAGGCTGCATTTATTTGACCAAAAATACAGAAAAAAAACAGTAATATTGTAAAATATTATTACCATTTAAAATAATGGTTTCCTGTTTTAAAATACTTTCAAATATAATTTATACCTGTGATGCAAAGCTGAATTTTCATCATCATTACTCCAGTCTTCAGTGTCACATGATCCTTCAGAAATCATTCTAATATGCTGAATCTGATTTATTATCAATGTTGGAAACAGTTTTGCTTCCATCAAAACTTGTTGTGACATTTCTGCAAACTGATATTAAATTGTGTGTTTCGTCTAGTGTCTAGTCAGTGGTGCTAAAAGCGTGTTCAGTTTTATCTGAAACAGATGAAACTAATGTAGCAACGATTTTGTTGGTTGTTGTATGTGGCACTTTGGAAGATGAAATGTTGGGGGAGTGGCGCTAAAAGGTTAATGCTCTGTTGCATCTGAAAATAACACACCTACACTAAACCTATAACATTAATAAAAACAAACGAGATAAAAACACTTTGCTAAAGCAAACATGCCACTTTAGCTTGCTTTGACAAGTCTTTGAGCTCTTTTATTGTGACTCGGACCTGAACGTTCCACATCACAAGTGCAATGCTGTACCAGGTGAACAAGAAGAGCAAGATTAATACAGACAAATGGAGCTGTTTATGCGATGTAAACGTGTATTAAAATCCACGCACTAAGGTAAAAGTGTTTTGAGGTCCAAACATAGCACTGTGCAAAAATAAGCCAATAATAAGCCGTCCCGTTATCATAATTTATGTGAAAAGGCATAAATGTTATTAGTGGTTTACTGCCGCTAATGTTCATTTTAGCTGTGAATTGTGAAATGTAGTGAATTGTATGTTTGTGCTACTGTGTTGTCCTTGATTTTTCAGACACGTTTGCAAAGACCATCACAGCAACAGATGCAGATCAGCAAGGAACTCTGCATACAAAAATCGCCTACAGCATTGCTGAACAGCATCCTGATAACATGTTCTACATTAATCGAGAGACCGGTGGGATACACGTCATGCACAACACGCTCGACAGAGAGGTATGCAGTCGCTGACATCGAGTCAAATTAAATTCACGTTTGAATTGTTGCTGCACTTGCAATTTGTAATTAATTTAGTTTGAATCGCTTAATGTACAGACTCATTTCAAATTTTGTTTTGTAGTTAATTTCAGCCCTATTATTTTTTTAAATCAAATTTATGCATGAAGAAATTTAAGATTAAAGATTGAAAATTTCCCGTTTACTGACATTCCAAATATTGATTTCTTCTACCACAGATTGATTGATTGATTGATGCATTGCAAGCATTTTTTTTCCCAGGAAATGCAAATATAGTTTTTACAGAAACATAATTGATGTTGCACGATGTTTTATAGGTTATTGTTTAATAACGATTAATGTGTCACACTTTATTATAAGGTCTCACTATTACTAACTACAACTTTTGCCTCAATAAACTCCTAATTTGCTACATATTAATAGTAAGGTAGTTGTCAAGTTTAGGCATTGGGTAGTGTTACAGATCTAAAATATGATCATGCAGAATAAAGCATTAATATGTGTTTTATAAGTACTAATAAACAGCCAATATGCTAGTAATATGCTAGTAATAAGCAACTGAGTGAGAACTGGTCTCTAAACTAAAGTGTTACCAATCCTAATTGCATTGCACATTTACTTGCACCTGTGACTGATGTTTGTGCTTTTCTCATCACAGAAACAAGACACATACACGTTGATTATTAAAGGGACTGATATGAACGGAGCTGCGAACGGAAATACAGGAACAGGGACAGCTGTCATCAAGATTCTTGATGTCAATGACAACATCCCTACTTTGGAGAAAAACTTTGTAAGATTTTATTATACCAAAAAATACCAAAAGGCTTAAAAATAATATGCATTTTTTAGTTTATCATGAGTTGTTTCTATGCACATATTTGTAAAACACGTGCATTATATTTGATATTACACATTTAATGGATATGAAATGTTTTGTAATTTAAGTTTATCACTTTGTTTGGTTTTAGTACGAGTGCAGTGTGGAGGAAAACACTCGAAACGTGGAAGTGGTGAGAATTGAAGTGACGGACGAGGATCTGATCTATACTGAAAACTGGCTGGCTGTCTTTACAATCGTGTCAGGAAACGAAGCCGGTTATTTCTCCATAATCGCAGACAACAAGACCAACGAAGGCATCCTGATTCTCAATAAGGTAGACTGACCAGTCTTTTGCCTTTACAAACAGTGCTTTGTTTTCTCTTGCACACCTGCTGTCAGGCTGACTATAGTTTTAGCTGCACCATCTTTCAAAAACCTTCAAAAGCCTGACTGCAATATCCTTCAACAGCATCTTTGCAAAACCTGCATTACATTCTGACAGATGTAAAACAAACAGCTGCACTGAGATGTGCAGTGTGTTCATAGCAGAAAGATGTTTTCCTAACAACACACGCGATTTACACTGTGTCAGAAGAAGAGAGAGTAAAAAGTGTTATTTTAGTATCATTGAGATAATATGATGCTTTTGTTAATATTTTAAAAATAATTTATTTTTATATATTCTGTTTTCATGTTAACTTTAGTTAAAGTTTTAGTAATTTTGTTGTGTTAAATATGTTTGTTGTTTTTAAATGTCTGTATAGCTTTTATTCATTTTTTTATTTCGGTTTGCATCAAACTAAACAAAAACGAGAAATGTTGCCTTGGAAACTAGCTGAAAAAAAAAGTTTTTTATATTTTATTTTATTTCAGTTAATATTCATTTCAAGTAATGATATTTTTTTTTATATACAATTTTATTATTATTTTTTTTTAGTTAACTAAAGTACATCTGAAACAGGGAAAATGAAAATAGATATGTTGGAACTCAATCAAATATTTCGATTTTTTTCCCCATTTACAACTTTTGACTTTTAATTTGGTAACACATACTTCAGTTGTGGATTATTTTCCACACTCTTGTCGAGTTAACCATTAATTTATCCACATTAAATCCTTCCTTTTGTTTGCTCTCTATGTGTTTTCTCATTAGTTCTCATTTCTTTTTTTTTATTTTGTTGATTATCATCTTGTTATTTCTCATTTGAACGTATGTGATTAAGACTACACTGAGTTAAAGTAAGAGAAATGTGTTTCAGGAATGGCCTGAAATTAGGTTTTATGTTCATTTCAAATCAATGTTATAAATATTGTGAATCTGGGGCTGTACCTTTTCAAAAGATACACTTTTGTACTTTATTTAGACCTAAAGGGTGCATTTTAGTGCATTTTAAATGAAAACTTAAGTTACGGAGACAGTTCAGATTCTGCTGTAAAGCAGCTCAGAAAGAGTAGTGTCATTATTTAGCTCAAGTCAGTTCAGTGTTGGTTCAGTTCAGAACAATAGCAGTGTGAACTTCATCAATTTGAAACAAGTTCAATTCAGCAGTAAGCAGCTCTACAAAAGTCAACAACGCTGTTCATTATTCAGCTCGAGTCAGTTCAACAGTTCAAGGGAAAAGAGTAAAAGATCTATTATCTTATGTGAAGAGACCATTGTTGATTTTTGTTATTGCATGTGTGTAGAAACTATTATACATCTCTTTTAATTTAATATCTGATTTATTGTCTGCAATTCACACCTGAACCCATTTACAAATGGGATGCTCAGATTGTTAATATCAGACTGAAATGGTCAGGGATATTGTTGAAAATTAACTTTAGCTGCTGTTTTCTAACATTAGATGAAGAGGGTTTATAATACATGCATAGTTAACTCTGTTAGCATTGCCTTTTCTCAATGCCAGTTACTCAGCTTGTGCAAGTCTTGAAATATGCTTATGGGGCCAAATACTCTGCTGGCAAACGTTCAATCACTGGACAACAATCTCTGCAAGCTAAGGACGCTGGTCTTGTTCCAGCACAAAATAAATAAATCCGCTTCAGAGAAACTTGTGGAGGAACCTGCTGTGGTTCTCCATGCATATTGTGCACATTCTGTCATGTCGTTTTGCTCCCCTGATCTGGAATATCTAATGCTACTGTGTTAACTATTCTGCCTAGCGAGGGAATTCACAGCCGTCCTTATCCCAGCTGTGTACCAGGCACTGAAACTCTACGGGTATCTGACCAAGCAGAAAACACTACCCTGAGGCTCAACTTAATATTGTCTGTGTTCGTTCGAGGGAAACAACATCGCCTTCACAGGAGTTAAAGGGATAGTTCACCCAAAAATGAAAATGTTCTCGCCCTCCACTTGTTTCAAACCCTATGAGTTTGTTGAACACAAAAGAAGATATTTTGAAGAATGTTAGTAACCAAACAGTTGACGGTAGCCATTGACTTCTAGTATTTTTTTTTCCAATCAAGGGTGAGTAAATGATGACAGGATTTTCATTTTTGGGTGAACTGTCCCTTTAAATACACTGTCTGCAGGTCCAAATGGCATTCTGGGCCATGTGTGTTCAGCAGGGTCAGAAATTAACTTTTCCATTAAGAGGCAAAAATTGATTGCTCTTGATATTGTAATAATGATTATTAATGCCGATAAATAGAGTACATATAAAACTTTTTTGTGTTTTATGTCTGCGTTTTGGGGAAATGGCTCGTCATATATTCTAGCTCTGGCTTCACAAACATGTCGGTTCATGACATTAGTCTAGTCTAGTGCAAGTTATGCAAAATCTCCCGTTATAATCGCTGAAGCTACGAAATGAATCTTGTATTTACATCGTGTCTGCACTGTGTTGTTTATGATGAAGGAATTCACAAACAGTGAGCGCGCACACTCAACAACAGCTCCGAAGTTTTCAGCGCTGACTAATCTAAGCATCTCTGATTGGCCATCGCATTCCTAAGTTAAATGGAAACGCATGTGATTGGCTATAAGGCTCAACAACAAAAAAAACAATCTGAATGTAAAAAGCAATCTGATGCAGTGTGAGCGAATCAAAATGTAATTCCGCGAATAGACATTTTTCATTCATTTTCACATTTCTTTTTAATTGCGACAGCCGTAATTGCAGGGGCAATTTTTGCCCCTTTATCTTCAATTTGATGAGCATTTGTGTTTATATTGGTGGCTTTTTTGCCGCAAGCCCCGTTAATTTCCAACCCTGGTGTTCGGAGAATTCATAGACCAATTAGTGCAAGTTTTCACTGACATTTTCAATCTTTGTTGTTTGCACGTTTTAAAACCATGCCAAAGCAACCAAAATAAACATACTTAACCCTCATAATGTACTCAAAATCTGTGTATTATTTTCTCATTCCGGGCTCACTTGGACCCCAAGAATTGTTATTTTATAAAACATTCATAGCTTAATATTTTTCCATCTAAAACCATTTTGTATCTTATCAACAACTTCTCATTAATGAGTGAATGTGAAAAAAATAAAAGTTTTGAAAGTTACCATGTTACACATAAACCACACACACAAAAAAACTGAAGGCTAGACAAATTCATTTTACTTGCATAAACTTTCAGTTTCAGATGAAAAAAGTGATTAGTTTGTCATGCTGCAATGGATCGTCAAGATGTACATATTCATGTAAATCAACAAAATTTAGTCCTAGAAGTGTGAGAGATATGGGGAAAAGCCTAAATCAGGGCTGTCCAAACTCGGTCCTGGAGGGCTGGTGTCCTGCAGAGTTTAGCTCCAACCCTAATTAAACACACCTGAACCAGCTAATCAAGCTCTTACTAGGCATAGAAACTTCCAGTCAGGTGTGTTGAGGCAAGTTGGAGCTAAACTCTGCAGGACACCGGCCCTCCAGGACCGAGTTTGGACAGCCCTGGCCTAAATATATTTTACAAAAGTTTTTGACACTAACCTAACTCCATAGATAATTTTACAAAAAGTATTTTGACACCTAATGGTACTCCATAATGACCCGGACACGAAACGTGTCGTATTTTTTAAATTATTATATGACAATTAATCAGTCTCAGAAATAATCTCAGTTCAGTGTATAATATAATTATTTCATAAGCAAAGATGTTACTCAATCATAGCAGTGGGCATTTATATTTAAGGATTAAAAGAAACACGCCCCTTTAAATAGAGTGTTGAAAACAAAAAGTCCAAAACAGGGTAGGAAATGACCATTTATTTCTAAATTATGACTACTTTTGATGTAAACATCATTATAAATGGACCTCAGGGAGCAGGAATAAATGTGTGTGTGTGTGTGTGTGTGTGTGTGTGTGTGTTGTTCAGCAGGAAGTCTCCTACATTCCTGCGTTTCACCCTTTGTTTATCTTTAAAGGAGCTGGACTATGAAGAGCTGAAGGAAATCAGCATGCAGGTGTCTGTCGCTAACAAGGCAGAGTATCACCCTTCAGTAGTCGTAACAGAGAGCAAGACGTACACCGTCCACGTCAGTGTGATCAACCAGCCTGAGGGCCCTCGCTTCAAACCCGCCGTCAAAGTCATCACCATCTCTGAAGAAAGCTCCAGCACTACTTTAAATAAAGTTATAACAAATTACGCAGCAATAGACAGCGACACGCTATTAACTGCTCATAACGTCAGGTGAGACTACAGAAACTGTTCAAACATTACACAAGAATGCGTTTTCGATCAGATCTTGTAATAAAATAATCATTTATTTTAGGTATGCAAAAGGACAAGACGTTGACAACTGGCTGATTATAGATGAGAGGACGGCTGATATAAGACTCAATAAAATACCAGATTATGAGTCCAAGATTCTGGTCAATGGCACATATTACGCTCAGATAATCTGCATCACTAACGGTAAGTGACCCTACATTTTATGATATGCAGTGCTGTAGTAACTGAGTACATGTAATCTGGATTACATAATCAGTTTCCAAAAATTAAGTACTTCTAATTAGATTACATTACATTTTAAAATGCTCATAGATTACAGTTACTGTTTTATGGATTACATAGTATTCACACAATGGCTGTAAATTATTCATAATTTATTGTTTCACCCCAGTTCTCTTTTCTTTTAAATTTTCCTTTCTGAATGAATCTATCTCTTATATACACGAGACTAATATTTATGCGAGTTACTAAACACTGCCAATGCATAGCTGTGAAATACATTGTCTTCATCATATCTTCACTAATTATTAATATCGGAAGTCTGGACAAAAATATTTAAAACCTGGAAGACTTTGGGCATGTACTATCATGTTTTCATGTTTAATAATGTTTGTTAATGTAATGTAGGGATTCCTAAGCTTTTGACATTTTTACGCTTTCATTAATTATTAGCTTTTCGTGAACGCCCTACAGTTTTTTTTTTTTTTCAAGAACCCCAATCTAGGAAATGATATTCATAACAAAAAAATTAAATATATTTTATTTCTCTCTTTTTTTTATCAACTTGGTACACAATAATCAGATTAAAGTCTGTGTAAATGAGTTAGCTCAAAAGTAATCTAAAAGTACTCAAAAAAAGTAGTTAGACTACATAGGTGTAATCCAGATTATGTTACTAACTACAGTTTTCATCATGTAAATTGTTATCAGTAACGGAGTAATCTACCCAGCACTGATGATTAGAATTTGCAAAGTTTATTATTATAACCACTTCAAAAAAACCAAAAGAGTTTCAAAATATATAGTTTTATGAATTGCAATTGGATTTAAAGTTGAGGGAGGAATATCTCACTTCTGTTACAGATGCTCCGTCTAAAACTGCAACAGGAACCATTGCCATTCAAGTAAAGGACTTTAATGACCACTGTCCTGTGCTGAGCCGTCAGTCTCAAACGCTGTGCTATGAGGATCACGTGGTTTATGTCACGGCTGTGGACAAAGATCAGTTCCCCAATGGAGCACCCTTTGGTTTCAAAGTGGACACCATAAGCACAAAGGAATCATGGAGCATCGAACCTCTCAACGGTAATTAATTGTAACTTCTTGTGGCTACATCATATTAACTTGTGGGCATGGCATAGATCGATGAAGCCAAGATATATAACCTCATGGGGATGTGATATTATGTCATGGCCATGAGATATTAGAGAATAACTGAGAAATGCATTGACATCAGCATATGGTGCATAAGGGCTTGACTCATATATCTACATTGTCCCATATTTTTCAATGCAGAAGTAAGCTGTTTTCTGTGAATGTGCGAGACTTCTGATTCATTAGCCTTTGTAGGGAAATAACGAGAAGAATAACAAAGTGCAATAAACGGTAAAACTGTGTTTAAGACAATACGTTAAAATAATATGGTAAGACACACCAGTTTGCAATATCTGGACAAAGATCAGTTCCCCAATGGAGCACCCTTTGGTTTCAAAGTGGACACCATAAGCACAAAGGAGTCATGGAGCATCGAACCTCTCAACGGTAATTAATTGTAACTTCTTGTGGCTACATCATATTAACTTTCATATTAACTTGTGGGCATGGCATAGATCGATGAAGCCAAGATATATAACCTCATGGGGATGTGATATTATGTCATGGCCATGAGATATTAGAGAATAACTGAGAAATGCATTGACATCAGCATATGGTGCATAAGGGCTTGACTCATATATCTACATTGTCCCATATTTTTCAATGCAGAAGTAAGCTGTTTTCTGTGAATGTGCGAGACTTCTGATTCATTAGCCTTTGTAGGGAAATAACGAGAAGAATAACAAAGTGCAATAAACGGTAAAACTGTGTTTAAGACAATACGTTAAAATAATATGGTAAGACACACCAGTTTGCAATATCAAGCAACAAAAACAAGCTGTTTTGTACAGCTAAGAATAACTGGAAGCGGATGAGACCGGAAGCCAGACATATTAAATGTACAAAAGGTCGCACGGGAAAAAATAAGGTGGATATGTTACAACATTTAAAAAAGCTTAATAGACTAACTAGACCCACCTGGAAACAATCAAGCACTAAAAAAAGGGAAACAGGAAATGAACAGACTACAAACTAAAAGTCCACATAACAAAACAAAAGCACAAGGAGCATGTTAGACTAGTGAATAAGTAACTGGCTTCATCCTTGTGCATCCATAAATATTGGTGGAAGTGTCCGGGATGCATAAGAATGCCCTTTTAATGCATTTTGCATGACTTAATGCTGCACTTTAATGCGTCTTTTCTTTTACTAACATCTGATCCAGACAATTGGAGAACTTGAGACACATCGACATTGAAAGGTCCGAACCGGTCATGCATCATGCATCATGTCATCTTCTTTAACGTTATATTTTCAGACACTACAGCGATATTCAGATCTCAAAAAACACTGTGGCCCGGCGTGTACCATGTGTTTGTGGACGTGTGGGACCAGCAGGGGAAGATCTGCGCTGCTCAGGAGCTTCAGGTAAACGTCTGCACGTGTGACGCTTCTAAAGTTTGCCTGCCCAGAAAAACCGTCTCTACGTTTGGAGCATCTGGTGTTCTTCTGATGCTGCTGGGACTGCTGCTGCTGCTCTGTGAGTAAAACACTGGATCTCTCTCTTGCTGTAAGGATGTGCTGTTTGACAAAATGGGACCCTGGAGCACAAAACCAGTCAATTTTTTGAAATTGAGATTTATACATCATCTGAAAGCTGAATAAATAAGCTTTCCATTGATGTATGGTTTGTTATGATAGGACAATATTTGGCCGAGATACAACTATTTGAAAATCTGGAATTTGAGGGTACAAAAAAATCTAAATATTGAGAAAATCGCCTTTAAAGTTGTCCAAATGAAGTTCTTAGCAACGCATATTACTGATGATGATACATTTTTTATATATTTACAGTAGGAAATTTACAAAATATCTTCATGGAACATGATCTTTACTTAATATCCTAATGTAGCATTAAAGAAAAATCAATAATTTTTCATACAATGTATTTTTGGCTATTGCTACAAATATACCCCAGCGACTTAAGACTGCTTTTGTGCTCCAGGGTCACAAATAGAAATGCTTGCATTATAAAAGTAAAATATGTATGTTTTCCTAGAAATGCATTTTTCACTACTTTAAAATAGCGTTACTGGCTGATGTTCTCAACTAATCGTCACCGTCTGTTATGTTTATGATAATTTTTTTTATAATTGAGTATGATATTTTTATTGCAGCTCTAACCATACGGTATTTTTTTTCCAAATATATTTTTAAATAGATTTTAAAAATATACAAAAACGGCCAAACATATATATATATATA